GTCAGTAAGAAAACCCAAACCTGCAGTCCAACCCCTTTGTACCTTTCTGTTCTGTCCCTGTACCTGGCCACAGAGATAGGGAACCTGATCATCATTCTGTGACTGTTGAACTCCCAACACCAATCCCCATAACCTTCTTCCTCTCCAACCTGCCCTAGATTGACATCTGTCATGTCTCCTCCACACTCCCAGAGATGATTGTGCACATCCAAACTCACAGCAGAGTCATTTTCTAACTGGGATGCCTGACAGACGCCCTTTGTTTTTATTTTTGGACATATGAATGGTATACTTCTGACTATGATGGTTCAAAACCAGTCACCCCCTGCTTTAGTCAGTCATCATGATCCTTCAACTCTATGTGTTTTGGTTTCATGAACTTTATGATCAGCATGTGGACTCCAAGATGCATGATTTAATTATTTTGCAATCTACATACTTCAAAGATATGCAATTTTCTAATTTCTTTTATGAACCTCTCAAGTCCTTAATCTTGTCAGGTCTTATTTTCTAAAAATATATAAAAGTGTATTTTGTTGATTCCATTTCAGATTTTCTCCCTCTCTTGAAGTCAATTTTGTCTTACTCTAAAATTGTTTTTCCCATGCTGAGAATCTCATCATCAGATTGTAAATATAAAGACTTTTCTCCCCAAGGATCTCTGAAATCTCATTGGCCTGTGTATTAAACAGTGATCAAAACGGTCAATTTTTGTTAGGTGTGTTTTACCACAGTTGAAATTAAAAGGAGATGGATCTTTAAAAAATAAATAAATAAATGAATTGAAAAGAATACACAAGCTTCCTCCTGAGAAGAAGATAGCCCCAAACGTTTGTGGACATTTTTTTAGATTTCTGCTTCCTCCACTAACATTAGGAAGTCCTCGGATGTTTGGGTGACATGGACCAATATGGCTAATTATGAACTCTGGGCTGGGAGCCTCCAAGGTCATATAATAATCAATCACCATGCTGTGCCTCCAGCCCTTCCTTCAATGCTCCAGTCCAGCTGGCCCCTACCTGCGTCAGCCCCTCCAGTGCTCTTCTGCCCCACAAGGCTCCTGTTCACCTTACTCCTATCAATCCTGAGTGCAGAGCCTGAGACCTCACTGAGCACTGGTGGGGGTGGGGGTGGGCATTGGATCCTCCGCTCTTAGACATGACCCAGGAAGGAGGCAGCTCTTCCCAGTAAGTGCTGAGGGAGGGGAGGGATGGCGAAAGGATGGGTGGCAGCACTGTTTCCTCATCAGCAGATGCACAGGACAGCCCGTGTGGATCCTAGGGGTGAACACAGACAGGATGAATACCAGCTGCTGTGGACTGAAGCGTAGGTACCTGCTGGTGGTGGAGGTGCCAATTGCTTTGTTTAAAGGTTTCATTTCCTCCTACACTGTTTCTACTTGACCACAGCATCTTATCCATGTTGGTGGGAGACAGGTTCCTGTGAGCTGTTCAATAAACCATCAAAAGGTCTGTGAGGGAGACGAGGATCAGAAGAACAGTAGCCATCAATCATGAACCAATACTGGGGGCTTCCTAAATGGGAAGTGCTCATCTGTATGTTTTATGTGGTCTCTTTAATTTAACATTCATAGTTTTCCCTAGTTATGTGTCCCCACAATATTATTGTTTTATTTTTATGTAACTTGTATTAAGTTGCTGGTAGAAAAAGTAAGGCTGTAGTTGGATTGACTGTGTGATTACAGACTCAGGCCACACTGCCATAAAAATCCAGGAGGTTCCCCTTTTCTTCTTCATCACTTTTTTTTTTTTTTTTTTTTGGTACTGGGGAGTGAATCCAGGGACACTTAACCACTGAGTCACATCTCCAGCCCTTTTTTGTATTATATTTAGAGACAGGGTCTCACTGAGTTACTTAGGGCCTTGCTAAGTTACTGAGGCTGGCTTTGAATTTGTGATCCTCCTGCCTCAGCCTCCCAAGCCATTGGGATCACAGGTATGTGCCACTACGCCCCGCCAGCTTCCCCCTTTCATGCCCCACCAGCCATTCCACCATGTCACTCCAGGAAAAGACCCCAGGCTCACTGTGCTCTTATGTTTGGGTATCACACAGGGGAGCAGTTGGTGGCACCCCTTGAGTCATTATAGGAAGGACAGCTGAGATCACAGGCAAAGATCACGGGAAGAGAAGTCACACCATCTCCAGAACAGACCCCTGCCTTCCCACTCTGTAGAATATCCATGCAGCTGTTCACTCACTAATAAGAGGAGAGCTGCAGTCTGCTGTGGATTTAGTCCTCCTTAGAAAACCAATCAGAGGTTTAAAGTATGCTTCAGATGTACCTGAGATTACCTGGTTAAAGGATGAACCTCTGCTTAAAACCTTCCGGTGACTGGGAAGCCATTTAGTGCATCAGATTCAGAGACAATCTGTCTGTTCCCTTGTGATGCCTGTGACATGGGACCAATTGTTAACTTCTATGATACAGAATTATCATTTTAGTTGATTTATTGTTGATAAAACTGGATTGCATAAGGAAGAACAGATGTAGAGGCTCCACATGATGTACATATCAAATGAGAGAGAAATAAAATTTAGATAATATTATTCTTAATGATAAGATTAGTCTTCATTACATTTGACTAAAAGATAGTATGAAGTTATTATTTCTTATTTCCATAGCAGGATACAGAATTTTTGTCCTTATGTAAGTAGATGCCAGATTTGTGGAAGGAATACCCAGTCCTCTTTTTATCAGGAAAACCCCATTTCCTGTTACTGGCCTGCCCCACAAGAAGAATAAAAAAATAAAAATCTGTGTAAACACTGTATAGATCTTGTTTGGTTTACAAAAAAAATGACTGTCACCAGCATGTGCATGATACTCCTGGTGCTTTTCTATTTGCAGTGTCCTCCCTTTCAGGAATGTCCCAGTAAAATGAAAGTAAAGCAACAATAGTTCTTTTTTTTTCCTTTATCTATTATGGGCACATAGTCTGTAAAATTTTCAATTTCACCTACAGCATTCATTGAGTCAAAGACCACGGCAGATGTTTTCATGGGAATAAACAGGCACAAAGAGATGGGGGCAGGGAACCTTCTGGGTTGGGCTGACTCATTTTGGGGTTTCACACCATTCCACTGACCTTTGATAACTGTTTTTGTAAAGAATCTGATATTTCCATAATGACAGCATTCTTTATTTGATAAAATGAGTTAATGACCAAATGTTTATTAATTTCATTTAGGTACTACCCATGTTGGGGAGATGGGTAGTCTTCTCCTGGTTTTCTTCCATTAAGCATTGTGAGTGCAGAGATAGAGGGATTAAAAGTGCATATGGTTACACACATCAAACAGACGGAAATTTGTCAGAAAAATGTACCCACCGAATTTATGGTAGTCATTTCTTTATGGGCATATGTGTGCAAGAAAATGAAATCATGCAGAGATTAAACAACAACAAAAACACCAACAACACAGGTGTTAATTCAAATATCTGTAAAATATATTAGTCCTGAAGCACACATTACTAGATGTGCATTTTCTCCTGTATATAAGCTGTGGTATTCTTGACAGTAGTAATAGATATTATCAACAGGGCACTTTCTAAATATCAGCAAATATTCTAAGAGAGTGTTTCTCAGACCAAGCATAATTAACACACTCACATATTTTTGTATTACTTTTTTAAAATCCTATTGCGCCAGCTTGAAGGGCTCCCTTCAGCATTTCCTGAAGGCCAGTCTGGTGGAGATGAACTCCCCACAGCTTGTTTTGGAAAGTCTTTACCTCGCCTTCATTTATGAAAAAAAAAACAGCTTTGCTAGAGAGCAGTCATGGAGGGCAGTTTTTTTTTTTATTTCAGCATACTGAGTGCATCCTCCCACTCTGACTTGGCTTGTAAGATTTGTGCAGAGAAGTGTACTGTGAGGCCTACTGCAGATACCTGGAAAAACTTGTGGTTTGGGGGAGGCAAAGGAATTGAACAGGCACTTCACAGAAGAAGAAATATGAATGGTCAAAAAATAAATGAAAAAATGCTCAACATCTCCAGCAACTGGATAAATGCAAATTTAAAACTACAATGAGATTCCATCTCACTCCATCCAGAATGGAAATTATTAAGAATATACGTTACAATAAATGTTGGTGAGTATGTGGGGGAAAAGGTTCACATATACATTGCTGGTGGGAGTCCAAAATTGGTGTAACCACTCTGGAAAGCAGTATAGAGGTTCCTTAGAAGACCTGGAATGGAACCACTATTTGATCCAGTTGTCCACTCTTTAGCTTATACCCAAAGGACATAAAATCAGCATACTAGAGTGACACATCCACATCAATGTTTATAGCAGTTAATTCACAATATCCAAGGATATGGAATCAACCTAGGTGCCCTTCAACAGGTGAATGGATCAAGAAAATGTGGTATGATACATATAGAATACTACTTAGTAATAAAGAAGAATGAAATTATGGCATTAGCAGATAAATGGATTGAACTGCGGAATATCATGGTAAGTGAAATAAGCCAGTCCCCCAAAGTTAAAGGTTGAATATTCTCTCTGATATGTGGATGGTAACCCATAACAACGAAAGTAAACAGGGAGAGTATAGAAGTTTGTTGTATTAGACAAAGGGGAATGAAGGGAAGGGAGAAGGGTTGGGAATAGGAAAGACATTAGAATAAATGGGTCATAATTTTCCTATGCTCATAATTGAATACACAACCAGTTTAACTCCACAGCATGTTCCACCACAAGAATGTGATGAAAATGGTAAAGAGTTGCACCCCATGTATATATAATACATATAATATGTGAAAATACACCCTAGGGTCATATATATATATATAAACAAATTTTTAAAAAAGAAAAAAAACACTTGAAAAAGTTCAACTAACTTGGAACTTTGAGGACAATGTACAAGGAAGAAAAATAAATACATATATTTAAAAATACCAAGTTGCAGGAGCTTGGTGAATAAAGGAAATTAACCACATCCTTTCAGGGGGAAAAGAACCAGGTTATATAAATTCATAGCAATAGCTTAAGGTTCTGCAGAGTCCACTTAGTTCTGAGGTCAGTGACCCAAGAAGGACCAAAGATCATTCTGCGGAGGAGTCTCCTCAAGGCCCCCTTCACATCCTTGTTCCTCAGGCTGTAGATGAAGGGGTTCAGCATGGGGGTGACCACAGTGTACATCACTGAGGCAATCATGGTTCTTGAGGAAGACTGGGTCCCAGCAGAATTGAGATAAACCCCAAAAGCTGTTCCATAGAACAAGGAGACCACACAGATGTGGGACCCACAGGTGGAAAATGCTTTATACTTGCTCACAGAGGAGGACATCTTCATTAAGGAGGAGACAATCTGAGAGTAGGAGAAGAGGATCCCAGTGACAGGAATCATATCCAGCAGGGCAGCCACCACATATATAAAGATGTAATTGATGATGGTATCCGAGCCGGCCACCTTGAGTAACTCAGCCAGTTCACAGAAGAAATGTGGGATTTCAGTGCCTGTGTAGAAGGTCAGTTGATTCAGCAATAGAACATGAATCAGGGAGACCCAGAACATGATGAGCCAAGACATCAGAACCAGGCGGACACAGAGTCGGGGGTTCATGATGACTGTGTAATGCAGGGGATGACAGATGGCCACAAAGCGGTCAAAGGCCATTATAGTCAGTAGGAAATGATCCACTCCACCGTAAATAATAAAAAAATATGCTTGTGCAAGGCATTCTAGGTAGGAGATGTCTTTGCTATGTGCTTGAATGTTCACCAGCATCTTAGGGACCGTGGTGGAGATGAAGCCGATGTCAGCCAAGGACAGGTTGGAGAGGAAGAAGTACATGGGGGTGTGGAGGTGGGAGTCAGAGCTGATGGCCAGGATGATGAGCAGGTTCCCAAGCACTGTGACCAGGTACATGGACAGGAACAGTCCAAAGAGGATGGGCTGCAGGTCTGGATCCTCTGAGAGGCCCAGGAGGAGGAAGTGGGATAGGACTGTGTGGTTCTCTGCTTCCATGTACCTGGTGTATGTTCTGGGGAAGGAGGTAAAAGAACAATTAAGGAACAGGCAAGTGAATCCTCCAATGAGTTGTTATTTATACTCTTGGATCAGCCTGGTTCATCTTGTGTTGATACCTGTCCAGGAGAACAAGGGCTCAGCCAAGTGCCAGCCCATATCTAACTTCTAGTGTATAATCCTTCAGGCTCTCTTTAAATCACCCACAACATATCCTTTATCAACAACTTCCTAATTTTAATTCTCCTTTTAAAATCTATCCCTGAGAACTAATATTTTCATGATATAACCCATGTGCAAGAAGTGAAGACATTTCACAGTTTCTTGTTAATTTCCAGACTCTCTCAAGTCTAAAGCTCATTAATAGTGATTAAATATGAATTTTTAATTTAAATAACCTTCATTCTGTGATGTGAGATTTCACAGTGTCATGAGAGTTTTATCAGTCCCCATTTTTGTTGTTGTTGCTGTAAATGTGAATATTGCTATCACCTGATTTGTGAAGTTGAAAATGCTTTTGCTTTCTTAATAGGAGTCTCAGAAAATAACTCTCATTACTATTATTAACCTTACTTCAAAATGTGTCCTTAATGATATTTTTAAATAAAAATTTCCATTGTACATAATAGACCTGTGATTCAAAAATGGGATGCTTGAGCCAAATTTCCTGGAGTAGAATTTGCTCCACCAACATATGCTCCACCAACATACCATCTTTTAAGTTTGAGAAAGTTCTTCAAACTAGCTTAACTAAAGCACCTCTCCTCTCCAGCAGACCATGTAGTATTCACAATAGGGTAGGATCCAGGAGTGAAAATAAGTGAGCTGATATAATTTTTCTACTGTGGTTTCTGTAACTTATATGGGTGTTACACAAATGTGAGCTTGTGTCTTAACATCTTGATAAATTTGTTGTTTGTGACTACATTTCACAATATACCTCCTAAACTACTAAGAGTAGAATTATTATCAGTAATATCAACAGGTTTGTTACCTCTTCTAAGTGCCACAGAGCACTTCTACCCCAAGGAGTTCCCTATGGATACTTCTTTCAGAGAACTTCTGTCCAGTGAATTCTTCCAGGAAGATGAAACACATGGGGATTCTGTAGCAAAAAAAAAAAAAGGTAGAAAACGGAGCCACCATTAACATTAAACACAAGTCACTGTAAGAGTGTGTGCACCTGTCCATGTGCTTGAGTGAGGATGCACTGTATTAAAATCATTATAGTTAGTAGCCAAAATATAAGTTCAATCTAAAAAATTCAAAACAACATAAATCACTCATCCTATAAAAAGTGAAAGAATTTAAGTTTCAGAAATAAATGTTTAGATTTTATGACAGGAAAAGTCAGTATTTTGAGTGCCTCGGCCATGAACCTAAATTCAAGACAGGCAAAAAAATCACTGAGGACTGATTTAGTGTGTGGAAATGGGTAGAAGATTTCACCCTGAAATAGAAATGCTTGAGCTGAGAGAGGAAGGATGGGTCATTGTAAATCAGGGGGGGAAGGGAGGAAGTAACAGCCCAGGCTGAGAGAGCAGAATGTGCATTGCCATCAGATGGTGAGCTTGGTACAGAGGGTGGTGGAGATCAGGGGACAAGGGTCAGGAGGGAGAGGGTATATGAGCTCATATGATGTTTCCTTAGCACCCTCTCCCACTGGCAAATTCATGTTCATTTGTGGGTCTGAAATTGTGACAGTTTTGTCTCATCATGAACTTAACAAGGTGTCTGTAACATTAGGGATGCTGAAGACCAAAATGTCTGCTACGATACAAAAGATAAGTGTTCCAGTGTATCATGCCTGAATATGGGAACAAAATGTAGAAGTGAATTTGAAGGATATGCATTTATGTCTGCTTTAAAAGAACAATACAGGATTAATAAATAATACCAATTCCAGGAATGGAGTCAATTTAAGATAAATACACTTGCTTACATATTTTATCACAAAACTAGGCCAATAAAATAAAAATAATAAGCACAATATAGTAAAAGCATTTGAGGATATTTAACAGGCATTCCTGTGGAGATCCTCACGGATCCACACAATCCACTATGAAGTTGACATTTGCTCACCCAACCAAGAAGCACTGTTTAGATAACACCCAACAAGAGGCGCTACATTGGAACAATACAGCCCAGTAACTGAAAACAAACCTTTGCTAGATATGGTACCCTGAGCAACTTAGCAAGGCCTGTCTCAAAAGAAATAAAAATAGGGAGTGCTGAAATGTAGCTCAGTGGTCTATCACTTGCCCAGCAAGCATGAGGTCCTAAATTCATCACCAGGACTAGAAAAATAGATACACACTATAGTATTTGATTTGAACTCATAAACTTGCCAGGGCAATCTCCTCCAATTTCAACCATTTGATAATTTCCTGAACTTTTAAAAGAAATGATAATGCCATAAAAGTATATTGGACTGAGTGTAAACATCAGAAGAAATTATACTAGTAGAAGATATATTGTGTACTGTAAGGTGAATTGATAACTACAAATATTAAGTCAAATATGAAGGTAAAAATATTAAGGTAAAAATAGAGAATATAATGGAAAAAATCCAATCAAATATAGAACAAAAAAGACAATTCCTTGCATGTAATAGATCTTTAGTGGTAGATAACGAATACTTAGGTGCAGGAAATCTGACAGGAGCCTATAATTTAGAAAGAGTGGAGAAGAGTTGCAGACTCTCAGGAAACCAAAATTTGGGAGAGAGGCTCTAGATTTCAAAGACAGAAGGAAGCAAAGCAATAGAGGTGGAAGAGACAGGTTCCAACAGACACTACAGTGCCTTCAAAGTGCAGGCGCTTCACCTTCTCAGCTCAAGAACTGTGGAACATTCCCTTTCCCATAATCCTAGAGGTAAACCCAGCACCCATGTCCTCTCCTGTTGTCCTTCTTACTGCAAAACACTGACTGTGTCTGAAGGCTGTCACGGAACTTCCTCTTCCCCCTGATCTGTCTGTCCATAGGAAGCCAGCTTAGGTTTTCAGGAGGGCTGAGAACAGAGAAGGATGAGGGAGGGGCACCAGGAGTGTTGTTAAATTTTCGGCAGCCTCCAAGATTGAATTCTCAAAGCTCCTAATTAAATAAATTATTTCACTGTGTTTCCATTGTCTAAACAACTCAATGCCCTTGGGATACAAAGAAGCAGAGCTGAAAAATTTCAGCCAATTTTGCATCTGTGGCAGAAGTGGCAGGGGAAAATGGATTTATTTCCTTAAAAAAATATATTTCTTTTTTTTTTTCTTTGGTTTAATTTAAAAGTCATAAGGTATCTGCCAATGGAAGGTTAATTTCTATAAGGAATCTGTCCCAGGAATCATCTCCTGTGATATGCCTCCTTTAAACAATCTGGATATTTTAGACCTCATTTCAGATTCACAATGCTATTTTAAAAAATCATATTTGTAATTTTTTTAACCTCTTTATTTTCCATGTGTAGTTAATTGCATATTTATTTCTTTAAATTAGGAGATAAAATTGTACATATATTATGTAAATATGGTGCATAAAATATGAGTCTTCTCATCTTCTTTGTTGTTAATGTGACAATTTGTCAATACTTTTTTTTCAAAAATGACCTCTATTTCATTGATTTTTCTCTTGTTTTTCTATTCTGTTTCATTTTTCATTTATTTCTACTCTGAAGTTTATTATTGCCTTCTTTCTGTTAATTTGGGACTCAGTTTATTCTTATTTCTGTACATCCATAGTGTGCAACATTAGGTTGTTTACTTGACATCTTTTCATTTTAGATGTGATTATTCCTATAAAATCAT